GGATGAGCAGTGGGGCCTGCACCTGAAGGCAGAAGCCTCAGCTTTGCCCCCTCCCCATGCTAGCAGGTCTAGAGGCCAGGAATACGGGTGCTGAGGCCCCACAGCAGCTCAGCAGGTAAAGGAGGCACCCTGAATCCAGGCAGATGGGAAGGGCCCCTGGTCTCTCAGCATAGTCCCCCTTCCAACTCTGAGAATAGCCCCTGGGAAAAATACAGCCCCCTTTCAACCCCAGAAACAGTTCCTCCTTAGGATCTGTAGACTTGGAGCAAAAAGTTACCTTCCCCCCACCCAGTGCCTCCTGCCTCAACCACCCACGCCTTTGAGCCCCTGGCAGGGACTGTGCCCTAGTCAGGACAGCCGGCAGCCCATGTGCTTCCACTCCCACCCTCTCCCAACTCCCAGGTTATAATGCAGGGGCAGGATAAAGAGGCCAATCTGGGGGTTGGAGATTTTAGAGAGAAAGTGGGCGTAGGTCCAAAGGAATATAAAGAACCCCAGAAGTTCTAGGCAGAGGTTCTTTGGCTGTGCTGTTCTGCACCTGTCTAGCACCATGGTAATGTCTGGTGGCCCGTCTCAGCTGTGTTCTCCAGGAGCTTGGGGATGAAGGCTGGCACCAATGGCCCCTCACCAGGGTATTAAGGGCATGAAGGAACAAAGCCAGGGCTGCCCTCTCTGCCAGTCTGATGACCAGGACAGCTGCCAGGGTTTCCTGTCCCTACTTTGGGTGGTGGGGATGAGGGGATTTTGTGGTCAAAAGAGGGCTGAGTGTGTCAGGGGCTCTGGGGTGTTTGTGTGTGTGTGTGTGTGTGTGTGTGTGATATGTTTATGGACATCATAGTAGATGAATCACTGTGTGTGCCCACACAAAATTTTCTGTGCACAGCTAGGGGTGTGTATGGGCGGGGGGGCAAGGGGGAATCTCTGGATTGGTGTTCCTGTATGTAATTGTGTTAGTAGTCACTCATTTAACATGTATTATTGAGCACCTACTAAGCATCAGGCACTGTTCTAGGTGCTTGTGATACATCAGTGAACAAAGCAGGCAAAGAGCCCAGCTATAATGGTGCTGACATGGTTGGGGGCAGCGCTTAAGAGGGACAAAGACAATTTAAAGAAGCATAGAATATAGTAAGTTAGAAAGTGCAATGGAGAAAAAAGTAGAGCAAGATGGAGGAATGGATTGCAATTTTAAATAGGGGTGCCAGAATGGGACCCGTTTAGAAGGTGAATTTTGAGCTGATGCATGAAGGAGGCGAGGAAGTTGGTCATGAGGATATCTGGAGGAAGAGTCTTCCAGGCAGAGAACAGCACGTCTGACATTTTTGAGAAACAGCCAGGAGGCAGGAGAGGCTGGAGAGGCTGGAGTGGGGTGAGCAAGGAGTCACAGAAGAAGTCAGGTTAGGGAGCTGACCAATGGCTCCATGTCGTCCTCGTGTATCTATCTCAGGACGAGCCTCGGATCCACCCTCGTTTGCCCTGAGCTCTATGCGCATCACTGTGCAAGTCCAGGTGTGCACCATTCGGCCTGGGCCCCTGGATGTCCCTAACGGTTCTCGTGCGCCTGTGTACGTCCAGAAGCAGTCACGTTCCTATGTCTGAGAGCCCCTGCGCCTCAGCTCTCCCACCCCTCCAAGTGCCAGTTGGCTGGGCCTCACGTGACCGCCTGCGGCAATGTCTGCTCCGCCCCCTCCAGACGCCTGCTCTGCGCTGCGCGTGCGCGTTGACCCTGTTGTGCCTGGTGGTTTTGCAGCTGCTGCCCGAGGGTGCCCTGGCGGACGAGCTGCAACTGCAGCAACCGCGCGGGCCAAGGGCGATCGGTTGGCTGACCACCTTCGGCCAGTTCAAAAAGTACATAGAGAAGCTCTTCAACAGCAGGTGGGCGGGCGGAGAGCGGGAGAGAGGGAGCAGGAGGAAACGGATGCTACCTGCCCCCCCCACACACATGCCTCTGTAAAGACGTGTTCCCCAGCTTGAAGTCTAAGGACACCAAGAAATCAAAAGACGTTTAACACCCCAAGAAAACAGCGAACAGCACAATAAGTCCACCACTGAACACCACAAAACCCCTACCTGTGAACACTACGAACCGCCCCTCCACAGGACTCTGTGACCCTCCCACCAAGGAACACCGCTAAACTCAGGCCACCAAACCTCCTCCTAGGGCCCTAGGTAGGAGATCCTGGGCACAGCTGGCACCAGCCAGGGGCCTCGGAACTGGGGACAGATTGGACAGGAGTGAGAGGAAGCCCTGGGTGATGGGGAGATACCAGGGCCCCAGGGACTTATTTCTGCAGACTGGGCTTTGACCTCCAGATTCACAGCTCAAGTCTCCCAGCTCACTGACCCCCTTTATATGTTGAGAGGGGCCTTAACTCCTCCACACCCCACACCCCCAGTGAGAACAATAAAGAGAAATAGAATCTCTGTTACTTCCTTGACTAATGTGGGCCCTGAGCAGGAAGGGGCCTGTTCTTCAAGGGAAAGAGGGGGACCCTGGAGCTCCTGCTGTGGGAGAAAAAGACCCCAGTTGCAGCGGTTTCCCTGCCTCCTCCCTGCAATCCATCCCCCTCCCCCATATTACACACATACTCCACTACAAGAGGGGGGTCCCTACCAGGAGGGAGAGCAGAGTGAGAGAAGCAGGTCCCAGCAACCTCAAAAGAGGGGCTTCAGCCAGACCCCACCCCACCCCAAGTTTCTACACAGAGAGAACAGCTTCAACGCCAGTCTGGGACATCAGTGTTGGCAGAAGGACACACAGCAGTGCTTTTGCCTGCGTGTTAATGTGCAGAGTATAAGGTCCTGCCTTTGCCCCGCCAAATCCTTTCAGCCCCTCTGGCAGTGAGCAAAGCAGAGGAAAGGACTGGAGCCCAGCCAGGGACTATTCCTGACAAGCTGGTTTCAAGAGTGACACTCTCCTCTGGGCTGGTGGCCATCAGAGAGGCCGAGGAAGGGGCAGAGGCTTGGGCTGCAGAGGCACCTCTCATGATACAACTCACACGCAGGTGTGTCCTGAGCAGTGTCCTAATTTCTGCCCTTGGGAAATGTCTACACCTCTCCCTACTCAGAACCCATCCCCTTAGCTGCCAAGAAAATTCTAGAACTTTAGTCTCCATCATCCAGATCCAAACTCTGATCGCCTGCTGAAACCAGCCCCTTTCCCAGACACCTCCCTGGACTTAAGAATCAGCCTGAGCCATGCATTTCCCTGGTAGCTGCATCCTCTCCAGCGCCTTGCCTTTTAGATAGGGCCTGGTTCCACTTTCAGGTCATTTGCACACACCAGATGCAGCCAGGACCAGAGGGGAAACACAACGTGGTGTCGTTGCCATGGGGTCAGTGTAAGGTGCTGAGCCCAGGAAAGTGGACCCCCTCATCCACCAAACCCACAAGTCCCATCTCTGTAGGTAGAGCATGTGGAGGAGACAGAAGCCATTCCAGGAACCAGGAAGGTTCTAATTCTCTCATTTCCCCCCTACCCACCCATGACTGTCCCTTATCCACAAGTGCACCCAACCCCAGGAAAAGAGAAGAGAGACAAGCTCCTCTCTTCCAGTCACACATATGCACCACCCCATCCCCATCTATTCAGGTGCCTGAGAAGGGCAAAGGCTGGCAAAGGCCACAGGCCCCCCGAGGACTTCGCAGTGCAGGCCTCCCTCTGGCAGGATCTGGGCCCTCCCCCTCCCAGCGCTGGAGTGTGGAACCCCAGATTGGACTCTCGGAGGTGGCGGCCAGAACTTGACTAATCCAGCCTCCTCCCTGAAAGGTCACATTCCCCCTGCAGCTTCCCCTCCTGCAGCTGCTTGAATAGCTCTCTTGCCCAGGAGCTCACCACCTCTCAGGACAAGTTCTCTCCGAATTCCCAATTCTTCAAAGATGCCCCTTTATAGTCCCAGACAGCCTGCCTTCTGGAGCCCCTTCCTGGAACCACATGGAGTTAACCATAACCCTTTTCCATGAGATGGAGCTTCCATGTTTAGAGAGCACACTGTGTGTCTGCTCGTCTTTCCAGCATGTTCGTGGAAACAGCTGGTTGGCCGGTGGCTGCATCATAAGTCTGCCCCCTTGAAAGCCCCCATTTACTGAGCGTTTACCTGGGTCAAGGGCCATGCTAAATGTTTCCCATGCTTTATTTCATGTCATGCTCACTACACCCCTCTCGTTCTTCCCATGTTATAGATAAGGAATCTGAGGCTCAGAGAGGTTATATCCCTGCCCAAGAGCACACAGATAGAAATGAGCAGATCCTGGATTTGAACCCAGGTTCACCTGACTCTAACGCAGATGCTGGGTCCCTCTATCAGATTGCCGTCGGCCACAGGACCGTGGACAGCTGCTGTAACTCTCTCAAGCCTCAGCCCTCACAAGGTTGTTGAGAGGGTTAAAGGTCCCTGGCTCCTTTCCCCAACAATCTGCACATGACACCATCGCCAGACCCCTCTCCTGCACAGCTCCCCTCCTTCGGCCATGCTTCTGCTGAGCTCTGTATCCCCTAGTGCGCTGTGCTCCAACTGAAGACAGCACAGCTACACAGCTCTGAGCTGCCCAGAAGAGGGCAGCTCTGATGCCGCCGATGCAGCTGGTGACTGTCTTAGCACCAGTCATTCCTCTAGGCTGGGCTGTCACCCCTGTCCCCTTGCCAAGAACACTAGGCTATAGGAAAGCATTGGTGGGGGTACATTTGGGGACAGGGCTATCATCAGGCTGTTGATCAGGAGGGTCTAGAGGTGCTGAAACGGGAAGATTCAAGCTCAAGACTGCTGCTTCACTGACTTGCTGAATGACCTTGGGAGCGTCCCTGCCTCCCTCTGAGCCACAACTTGCCCCCCTGTGAAGTGGAGAGGATGCGCTGAATGGCTCTGAGAACCCCACAGACCTTCTGTATCATTCATAACACCTTCCTTCCCTTTCTCCTCCTTCCCCTCCCCCTTTCTCTCCAGCTATTTGTCTGCCCCTGCCCCCACCAGGGGTCCACAGAGACACACAGAGAGAGTCTATGTCTTTGATTTGCTTTATTTAGCCTGTGTGGGAGCAGGTAGCAAGCTTTGGCCAGAGCCAAGGGTGTGGAAGGGAGAGCTGGGTGGGCACTGCCCTTGGAGTCAGAGGAGGCAGAAGGTGGCATTACAAGTCCATCGGGCTGAGCTCCCTGTGAGGAGAGGGCAGAACAGGGATGGCAGTGTGAGTGGGCAGTCCTTGTGCCTGAGGGAGCCCTTAGGTCAGCCCCGGGCCACTGTTCCCCCTTCCCTCATTTCAGCCCCAGGGAGCTGGTCAGACAAGGCAGGGAATCAAACCTACCTGGGGACAGCTGCATGGGGCGAGTCCCAATCCAAGAAGCCCGGCGTCTCTTCTCTGTCTCTTTTCCCATACCTGGAAGGGGAGAGGCAGCTGGGGCAAGTGCTGTGCCCAGGTGTCAGCTCACCTGTCTCATGCCTCCCCTTGGGCATTATCCCTCCCCAGGACTGGTCAGTAGAGAGGCTCTGCTTTTCCAAGAGCATGGAAGAGGCAGGGGCTGGGGTCATGACCCAGAGGCTGGGGCCTCTCTCCTCTCTCATACACACCTGGGTCTAGTCAGCATGTTGATGTATCTGCGGAGTTCAGCTGCATACTGAGCCATCTGCTCCAGTGTGGCATTGTCCCCTGGGTACACTGGTTCCAGTGGGGCCCCCTGGGCACCCAGTGGTGGCTGCAGCAGCAGAGCCACACATGTGGACAGGAGCAGCAGGGAGAGGCAGCGGCATGCGGTGGCCATCTGTGAAGCAAGGAGCGGGGAGATGGAGGCGGAACAGAGCCCGCCCACCCAGCCCCTTAGCCCACTTCTCCAAGCCTGGGGCCAAGGCAGCAGAGCAAAGGGCCACTCGGACCTGACCACCCCACCTCCTAGACACTGCCCTGGAGAGCATGGACAGCCTCTGTCATGAGCAACGCAGCAGCTGGAGCTCAGCGAGAACCTCAGCAAAGTAGAAAAGTATAGTAGAAAAGGTGGGGCATAGGGGCAGGAGATACAGGATCCATGACACCCAGGGCCCGATGGCTCTGAGGAGGCAGATGCAGGGTAGGGGCTGGAGGAAAGGAGCTGGTGGGAAGTAAGGGCACTCCTGCTTACGTACAGGGTGGAGCACACAGAATGAGCTTGTGAACTAAAGGACAAAAATCCATGGCCTGTGGGTCTGCCCCCACCATCCCACCACCAGGGTCAGACACACAGATACACAGTCATGGTCACACACAGATCCCAGTCACTCATAGTCACAGTCACTCATACATCTGTGTTTACAGCCACCACTCACTCCCCGAACACGTTTGCAGTCTTCTAGTCAACAGACTGCCCTTCCTGGGTGACAGATTTGTCCAGATGTAGAACCAGACCTATGCAGGACCTCAGGCCTCCCAAGGCCCTCAGCCCTGCAAAGCATCAACTCCTTCCTCCTGTCGCAGGCCCTAAGCCCCAAGGATCCCCCAGACCCCCTCAGAACCTAGGGGCAGGCTAAGCCCACTTACCCTGAGACCAAGCAAGAGGACCCTGGACCAAGCGGGTGCCTGCCTCAGGCTGGATGGGCCCCCTGCCCTCTGTTTGCCCCTTTATAGTCCTCAGGCATACGCCCCCCCCCAGAGTCCCCGCCTCCTGTCAGCCTCTCTCACTCTCCAGCCCTCACCCCCTCCTCCCACCGTCTCCCTGGTACCCGCAACGCCAACACTGGGGTGAGGGACAGTAGGCGGACAGGGCAGTGTGGTAGATGACAGACTAGCAGCATAATGGATAAAAGAGGACCGCAATAAGGCTCCCGTGGGCCCCCATCTGCCTTTGGACACCAGAGCAGGCTTGATTCAAGGATAGGGTTCTGGGACCTCAGGATGAAGAAAAGGTTCTGGTCGCAGGCCTCAGAACAGCCCCTCCTGCCTCCCAAAGGTTAACCCAAAGCATCAAACAGATTCCCTTAGGGAAGACGATTGAGGCTGGGGCTCTGAGACCAGGGTTGGAGGATGGCGACTCGGAATTTCCTCTCCAGTTAGTGATTAGAACAAGGTGGGCACAGAGGGGATGCCTCAGGTAACTAGGCAATGTGGAAAGTAATGGGGACCCAGGCAGGGAGAAACCCACTCCCTGGCTGGTGTGTAGGAGGCAGAATTAGAACTGATGTGCCTGGGTTCAGGGGAAAATGGGGGTGCCAATTTCTGGTAGCCATTTCAGTGATAAAAACCGTCATCATGTAAAGCCTAGAATTTTCCAGAGTGCTGCCAGCTCAATCACCACACTGGGTCCCTACAACAACCCATTTTACAGAAACTAAGGCTCAGAGCCATCAAGTCTGACTAGTCAGTGGGAGAGCCAGGGTTTGAAATGAAGACTAACTCCAAAATCCGTACTTCTTTTTTCTAAGTGGGGTTATCAAAGTCTTGCTATAATTTCCCACTTTTTGGCCGATAAACATGATGCTCAGAGGTGAAGACACTTGCCCAAGGTCACACCGATGCCAAGGACTCAAGTTTTGGCCTAGACTTCCAACCCCACCACTGCTAACGGCTCTCCCACCCAGGAGTCTCTGAGTCCCCCCTGCTCTGCGTCCCTTCCCCACCTCAGGCTACGGAGCAGTAACTAGCTGTGTCTGAATCAAGGATTAAAGCCTGAGAAGGAAGCAAAGGACCGCTCACCCTTGAGGTTCTGCTGTCCCAGATCAGAACAATAAAAGTGTGTGTTAGGAGAGGAGTTGGGTTGAGGGGTGAGCCGAGCTTCGACTTTTCTCAAGATAGTGAAGATAAAGGAAGGCTCAGTAAACATCGATGTTCTGCTTGTTCCTCTCAATTCTGATTTCTGGTAACAAGAAGAACAACAGTGCTTCCCCAAAAAATTATATTCCACAAAGCAAATATGGACGTTGTTCTGTCTCCACAAGCCCCCAACCCTTCTCTGGTCCTGGGTCAAGACTGGCAAAGCTAGACGAATTGTGGCTGGTCCCAGGTAGGCCGGCAGAGGCAACAGCTGCCACCAGGGGGCGTCAGGCTCTAACCCTAGCTGGAAGGGTCTGGGCTCCCATAGACATATACAGCCTGTTGGGATCTGTTCTGGCCACTATGCTCGTCAGGCCCCAGCCCCCGCAGACAGATGGTAGACCTGCGGATTGACTCAAGTGCTGGGGCCATTTATAGTTTTATAAACAGCTTTGTCACTGCCTAAGAAATGACAGGTACTTCACAATGTCAACTGAATTATAGCTTTCATTTTCCTCCTTTGCAAACAACCTATTCCTCTTCTGGGTCCTCTCAGGGATGTTGTGACAATTGAGATGGAAGAGGTCGTGGATGTGCTTTCTAAACAGGGGTTCTCACTCATCTTCATAGGTTCCCAGGGCTGGCCATGGAGCCCTGCTTAGAGAAGGCACCAAGTACTTAACGGCAGGCCAACTAAGTGAAAATGACAGCGGTCCCTCTCCCCCTGCTCAACCCCGTGACCTCGGGAACAGGGAAGATGAGCATTGGACAGTGTTGGGGATAGAGTGAGGGCTGTGGTGAGCCTAGGAAAGGAACACCCCAGAAACCCCTGGGGTCACAGCGTGAAGGCAAGTATAGAGTAGCAAGGGAAATGGGGATCCCCACATATAAGACTGCAAGGAATTTAACCAGCATCACATCCTTCACACCCTTACAAGAGCGCCTCCAAGGCTACCAACTACCCCAAGAACATCATGCTGGAGAGGCCACATGTAAATGCTGCATCAACAGCCCCAGCTGAGCTCCCAGACAACAGCCAGCCCACCCACCAGACATGTGAGTGAGCCTTTTGGGATGTCAGCCCAGTGGAGCGCTCAGACAACTGCAGCCCCAGCCAACCTCTGATTGTCACTATGTGAGACTCCAAGTGAAAACTGCCTTGTCAAGCCCTTCCCAATCCTGACCCAAAAATCATGAGTGAAATACAAGGTGTGATCAAACAATATGGTGAATGTTTAAATAAAAAAAAATTTTTTACAGTAAAAGACATATTGTCACTAATCCCCCTCAAACTACTCCCCCTAACATCGAACACACTTATCTCATGGTTCTTGCCACTTTCTGAAGCAGTTCTAGAAGTTCTCTTTCGTGAGTGTCTTTAGTTGCACTGTCGTGGCTGCCTCAATGTCCTGAATTATGTTGACTTTGGGGGAGAGCCATTAGTCTGAAACTGACCACAACCCCCCCTCCAAACAAACCAACAGACAGGGGACTACAGACAGCAACACAGATATACATATTCCCACTCGCCTGATCACAAAATGATCAGTGCCAGATCCAGTGAATAAGTTGGATGAGGACACACCATAATGTTTTTATTTGACAGAAATTTCCATACCCGAATTGATGTGTGATGTGGAGCCTTTCTGTTGTGATCAAACAATACAATAAATGCTGCTACCAAGTGCTGTCCAATGGAAAGGATCTTCAATACCAGAAGCAGCGCGATGAACCTTAGTATGTGACAAGTTTCAACTTGTTCGGTGCAGTCAGTCGGGTGTGAGCTACGGTTGAGAGATCGTGTGTTTTAAAATGTGCCGTAAATCATCCTCCATCATGACAAAGCTCTGTGTCACACATCACTTCTGGTATGTGGCAACTTCTGTTAAATAAAAACAATATGGTGTGTCCTCATCCACTTTATTCATCAGATATGGAACCGTGAAACTTCTGGCTCTTCCCCAAAGTCAAAATGATTCAGGGGCCGGCCGAGTGGCGCGATGGTTAAGAACTCGCTTGGGATGCCAGAGGGCCCCGGTTCGGATCCCACATATGAGGGCCAGTGACACTGCCCTCCACAGCTAAGATGCTGAACAACAGCTCAACCTGGAGCTGGGCTGCCATGAGTCGCCGGCGACGGCGTGGGCTGCAGTCCCTGCGGCAGTGGGTTGCCATGGGCTACCGTGTGTGGCCAGCAGCCAGCGTGAGCGGCCAGCAGCCGCAGTGAGCGGCCGTCCAGAAGCCGGCGACTGATCTGCCTCGCCAGAGAAGAGCGCAATGATGGTGCCAACTTGGGCCAGTGAAGCAACATCCTCCACAACTAGATTGAAGAACAAAACGACAGCAACTTGTCTGTTCCCCTTTCCCCAATTCCCCAGCACTGTTCCTATCCCCCCAATTCCCCAATAAAAATCTTAAAAAAAAATGATTCAGGACATCAAGGCAGCCATGACAGCGCAACTAAAGACACACGAAAGAAGATTTCCAGAACTGCTTCAGAAAGTGGCAAGAACCGTGGGATAAGTGTGTTTGATGTTACGGGGGGGTAGTTTGAGGGGGATTGATGGCAATGTGTCTTTTACTGTAATAAATTTTTTTAATTGAAACATCCACCTTATGTTTTAATCGCACCATGTACAATGGCTTTTCAAGCTCTTAAGTTTTAGGGTAACTTGTTATGCAGCATAGTAACCCGCACACCTATCTTTTCCCCATCCCTCTGTTCCCACCGGCTGGAACACCAGAAGTGGTGATGGTGGGCCATCTGCAATTATGTAGATGAGGGCATGTGGAAGTTACAAAATAAGACCCTGGACTCTTGGATATCATGGAATGGAGTTGCCAGCTCCCCAGATGCCACTTGTATTTTACATAAGAGAGAAACAAATGTCTATCTTATTTAAGCCACTGTTAATTCTGTCTCTATTTAAGAAACCAAATCAATATCCTAGCAATATAATGTGTGTAAAACAAATGGTGCAGCGGTGCTTTTTAAAAATGGCAGGTATTTCGGGCCGGCCAAGTGGCACGTTGGTTAAGAGCTGGCTTAGGACGCCAGAGAGCCCCGGTTCGGATCCCACATGGGGGCCAGTGACACTGCCCTCTACAGCTGAGATGGTGAACAATGGCTCGATCTGGAGTTGGGCTGCCGTGAGTCGCTGGTGACGGCATAGGCTGCAGCCCCTGCCACAGTGGGCTGCCATCAGCTGCCGTGTGTGGCTGGCAGCCAGTGTGAATGGCTGGCAGCCGGTGGGAGCTGCCAAGAGCCACCGTGAGCGGCCGTCTGGAGGCCGGTGACCCATCTGCCTCACCGGGGAAGAGCTCAATGATAGTGCCAACGTGGGCCAGTGGAGCAACGTCCTCCACGACTAGACTGAGGAGCAAGACGACAGCAACTTGTCTGTTCCCCTTCCCCCAGTTTCCCAGTGCTGTTCCCCTCCCCCAATTCCCCAATAAAATCTTTTTAAAAAATGGCAGGTATTTCTAATGTCATCATTAATATTACATCTAAGGCTCCCTCCACTGGAACGTTGGTTGTGTCTGATCAACAGTGGATTAACCACCTGTTCAACCTTCCTCCATGTAAACAAGAGCTTAACTCCTATCACTTATGGTCAACCAGACATGTCAAGCTGGACAGAAATTGTCTGTGGTCATTCAGAACGGGGGTCTCTTCCATTAGTCTGAAAGTGACTACAGCCCTCCCAAACAGACCGCTACAGACACAAACACAGATATACATCCTTCCACTTGCCCAACCACAAAATGAACCAAAGCTCATTGCAACCATTTGTGTTCCCATCCTACCTCTTCCGGTGCAGAGGGTGTGGGGCTGGAAGAGAGAAGACGGAGGAAATGAGATAGGAAGTGGGTCTCAGATAATGACAATACAGTAGGGAGAGGAGAGCAGAGAAACTAACTCTACCCTGAGAAATAAGGAAAGGCTCCTGGTGGGAGGTGAACAGTACCCTGAAGATGTGTTTCAGACTGAAGAAAGGAAAATGGCTCTGCAGGCAGGGGAAGTGGCCTGGGCAAAGGCTTAGAGGGTCAGAGTCCGCATAGCTTGTGACCTGCCTCCACCTCATGCTTCCAGTCCCACGTCGAGTGAGGCTGGAGGGTAGTGAAGGAAGGATAGGAGTCTGAGCTCATAGGCCACCTAGGGCAGGTTGTATCCACACAGGAGCCACTACAGCTATGGCAGAGACAGCTTTAGGGTCTTCTCCCAGAGCCACCTAACTGCAAATAGTCCTGCATGGCCCCTACCTTCCAAAGTGACACCACCCAGCCTTTCAACCCTTTTTACCCTCTCTGAGTCTGGGGCTTTGGCCTCAACCTGATTCTCCCTCCCATCCCCCAGTTCCCACCTCAGGCTCAGCCAGATCCTGCAGAACTAGAGGCCCGGGAATAAGCCCACAGACAGAAGAGGCTATGTCTGATGGGGGAGACATAGGCTCTTTCTTCAGGGGGCCACCTGACCTAGAAGGGAGACAGGACACAGAGACATGGCAGAACAGAGCAGTGTCCATGAGAGCTAGGCAGCTGCAGAGTGCAGGAAGACTGCAGATCGGGGACAATCAAGGCAGGCTTCCTGGAGGAAAGGGCCTGGGAAGGAAGGGTGCCAGGAAGATCAGCCTGCAGGCAGGCTCTGGGATTCTTCACAGTCATGAGTACAGAGTGGTGAGGAATTCAATTTAGACTCCATATTAAACATCCACAATGTCTTCAGCCTTCAGTGTCTAGTCCAAGGGGAGGAGGGGTGCACAGGAGGGTGTCCCCATGGCCTTGTCAACAGGAAGGCACAGTTAGTGACTTATCCACTGAGTATGAATTCAGCAAGGTGGCAGAGGGCAGTTGTTGAGGGAAAGGGCAGCCTCCATGTTCCCACTGCTCCTCCTGCCTAGGAAATGGGGGATGTTAGCAATGACCCCCCCACACACACACACACACCCATCTCACCCCCTCAATGACTCTTCCTCCACAGTCCCATCTTGGATCCTATCTACACTCCCAGCCACTCCAGCCCTAGAGGTTAGTAATACATCTCTTCAGGGTAACCTCCCCAGGGTTTGGTGGCTAGCTGGTTCACCCAACCACCTTCATCTTTGGAGGGGAGAAAATGCTCTGTACCCCTCTACTCTCCTAGGCTGCCTAGCATGCTCTTTTCCACCCTCCTCATCCTCCATTGACTCTTTTTCTTGCTCCTCCTTACCCTTTTTCAGGAACTTTCATCTTGCCCTACTCCCACCAGACTGGAGAGTTCCACAGAGGTCCCTCTCTGGGCGCTGTCCACTCCCAGAGCTGGGCAGCAATGTCTTCTCTTAGCTCAGAGCAGAAGGAGCCCCGCCCCCACTCCGCCCAGCCCTGTCCTGGGGGGCCTTTTCTCTGAGGTGTCAACTCTTGTCTCAGCTCGCGCCTCCACCCTCCACTCCCACCTGGATACCACCTCCAGGAAGGAGAAGTGAAAGGAAATACAAACTCATACATTCCGATTCTTGAAATTTGCTCTTTATTTGGGGATCAGGGAAGGGCTACACACAGAGCTCCAGCCCAGTGGGGGCACGGAGAAATGGACCGAGGACCCTACCCTGAAGCCTCCCCATCTGCACCGGGCAGGGGGAGGAATCCAGGGTCTGGAGTCAGGAGCAAACATGCAAATGAGGTCGGTGTATGCAGCATCTCTCCCAGGAGGCCTTGGGGGTCGTCACCACATGTAGGTGCCTTCTGGCCTGTAGGAGGAAAGGGAGAAGAATCGCACGGAGCCTCGGATCTGGAGAGGCGAGACTGGGGGAAGTTCTAGACGGCGGTGCAGGTATGGGCTCCGTAGGGCAACAGGACCATGCCGCTCTCTAGGTGGCAGGGCAAGTGGCAAGGAGGGCGCTTTTACCGCGACTTTACTGATCTGTCCTGGCCGTCGGGGAAGAGCAGATTCGAGAGGAGCGCTTCCGGGCTGTCGCGTTTCCCATACCTGGGGGCGGGATCAGAGATGGGTGTGGTCAGGTCTGGCCACGCCCCGGGTGGAGTGGGGGCGGAGGGTGGGAGCGTCCGAGGCTGGGCTCTGTCCGCCCGCGCACACTCACCGCTGCCGAGTAACCAAGTTGAGGTAGTGGCGCAGCGACGCGTAGTAGCGGCTCAGCTCCTCCGGCGAGGCGTCTTCGCCCGGAGCCTCGGGTTTGGTGGGGTAGGCGTCGACCAGCGCCCCCAAGCAGGCGAGCAGGGCCAGCAGCACTGTGGCCATGGCAGACCACGGCCTGCGCACCATCCCCATCTGCAGAGGGGGTATTGGAGTGTGGGTCATCCCGAGCCTCGATCCCCAACAGCTGAAAGCTGAGGCTGCCGTCGCGCCCACGCTCCAGCGGCCTGTCCGGGACTGGTGCTGGACCAAGGCTCAGCCTCTGGCTCTCTGTGTGTTCTCTGGCAGCGCACCGTCTCTGGCCTCAGTTTCCTCATCTGTCAGAGGGGCATGAGCCCTGCCTGCCTCGTCCGTGCTGCCCAGAACAGCAGATGGAGGAAGAGGGCTAGCTATGCTGGCTGCGGGGCCTCCTGGGCCTCTCTCCTTCCCACTTCTGCTAGGCCCCTTCTAACCCAGCTGCCCGCCACTCAGCCACAGTTTCCACCATCCCAGCCTCAGCTTCCCCCACAAAATAGCCTGGGTTACCCGGCATCAGACCATTCCTGGGCCCTAGGCCACTCACAGCGACAGATCCCAAAGCAGAGATGAGCAGGAGTTGGAAAGGGAGAGGAGTCTCAAGGGCTGGGCTGCTGCAGGTCAGTAAGGCCGCCTCCTCTGCTCAGTGCTTTCCCTGCAGGGCTTATATCCCATCCTGGAAAAGGAGGGGGAGCCCAAGGGGGAGGGAGAGCCCAAGGGGGGAGGGCCCTTTCTCCTTGCCTGTGAGATGGCTGAGCCTAAGTCCAGACAGTGCATGATGTTTCCTCCACCTTGCAGGAGCTTAGAGGGCAGCCGCCATGCTCAGACTCAGGGTCCCTCTGGACCAGGTGCCTAGCCTGAACCCAGCCTTCACCCCACAGCTCCACAGCAGCTCTAGCCTCCTAAGGAAGTGAAGCATTCGGATCTAGACTCCTGGGGCAGCCCCTTGGGCCAAGGATGAGATTCCAACTTCCCTAGCCTGCCCATGAATGGGAGTGGGAGGCAGGAGGCCAGACACATTCCCTCCAGCCTATGGCCACTCCTTCAAAAAGGCAGCCTTTTCAACCCTGCTCAGCAATACCTTCGAGAAGGGCTGGGGAGTGACAGGATCTTTGGGGAAAGTCTCTTTTTACTGGAGGCAGGGGTGGCAGCTATGACCTTGGCTCTTGACCTGCTATTTATAATGTCCTGGAGAAGAGGCCTGTCTGGACATCCCATTATATCTCCTCTACTTTAAAGAGTTGGAGAGAAGGGCAGGAGGAGGCAGAAGTCAGTCCCCTCCCCAAAAGCAGCTGAGTTGGCCCCCTGTGCATTCAGTCTGGCACACCCAGACCCAGCTCCACCCAGGCCTGGCATAGAGACCCCTTCCAAGGCAGTGTGCACTCATACCCATCCAGGCGATGCTGGATGCTGCTGTGCCCAGCCCTTTGTAGTCTCCACTGGGCTCTAAGGAGAGATCCTCACCCAGAGCCTTTGAAGGAAAGAGGAAAGGACTACTGTTTATTAAGCAGCTACTGTGCACTGGGCAGTACGTGACTTCAACACCGTGAGCTGACTTTATTCCCAGTTTACAGATGAGGAACAGAAGCTCTGAGAGGTGAGGGAACAGTCAAGGACATCCAGGATTCAAACCAGAGAAAAGGGCTGAGGCAGACCCCAGGAAGAGGCCCTTTCAGTCATGAGGCACAGAAAGCCTCTCACTACCTAGAATAACCATGGGGCTCAGAAGTCAGGCATGGGAGCCACGGATGGGAGGCTAAATCTGGGGCCTGTCACCCACTCTGATAGGCCAGGGTTGGGAGGGGCCTCCAGACTGCCAACCCCATGAGACCCACATGCCCCAACAGGAAGAGAGGGGCTGTTGGGGAATCTCCCCCTAGAGCACTTTCCAGCTCCCTTTCCCCAGTCTGGTCGAGTCTCTAGAGTTTCCAGGCTTCCCCATCAGCTGTGAGGGCAGGAGGCACCATCTTGTCCAGCCCCCTAGTTTCTGGGCCAGCCCCCCCCCCCACCCTCCAGGACAGATGGCCGTGGGTGTTATTTTTAGAGCTCTCCCAAGGTGGAGAGGCCAGGGCTCCCTCAATCACCTTTTTATGGGTTCAATCACCTGCACTCTCCGGAAATGGCTCCTTATCAGCCAGTCAAGCCCCATAGGCCCAGCACATCCCAAGGAAGGCCATGGCAGTGTGCTGAGCACAGACGTGGAAGAGGACATCAGGACAAGGTGACATGGACCCTATCATCAGACGGAGGAAAAAAATCATTCTTCTTAGGGAGCTCTCATCTGAGGGGCAAGCCATGGTCCTGTTCTCCAGGAACCCCAGTCTCAGAGGAGTCATGGCCATGTCCTTGGGGATCTCCAGGCTGGGGTGAGAGGTGCAGCTGTATCACCAGGGAGCCCTAACCTGAGGGAAGAAGCCCTCCACTATCCTTGCAGAGCCCCAGTCTGAGGAGTTACCAGAACATAGGGACAGATAAACCCAGAGGGACAAGCATAGGTCCAGTTTGGAGAGGAGACAGCAGACATAAAAGAACTCCCCTCTTCCAGAGGCCATGGAAAGACTAAGACAGGTGCTCATCCTGGGGAAGGAAAGGGCAGCCAGGGATTTGGGTTAGGACAACTGCAATCCCAGGGGTTGGGGCCTGGACCAGGACCCTGCAGGCTAAAGGGGCAAGGATATCCGAAAGAGCAGGGGCCGTTTGCTCTTCTGATACTGCAGCACTAGCTGGGTGGTGACAGGGGTTTCTAGTGTGCAGATTCCAGGCCAAGAGAGGTGACAGGAGTTGTGAGATGCCCACAGGGCGTCTGTGACACCCCTTACACCTTAGGGTGTGGGGGTCCAAGGAGAGGAGAAACTGAAACTAGAGGGCATGGGGAAGGCCCAGAATTAGGGTACAGCTTCTGAAGAATTTGCGCCCCATTCACCTTTAGTATGAAAGTAAAGGGCACCCAAGGAGGTTCCTCAGGGTGGACAGGGAGCCTCCCACATCCTCACCATCCCTCCCTCTCCATCACACCCCCGCCCTCCAAACACCACTCCCCAATTACAGGACATTGGTTCATTAATCACCACCTCCTCATTGAAGAGTTCATTAACTTGTTGATTAGTGGGGAGGATGTCTTAGCCTTCGATCAATGGGCTCAGTTATGCCCCACCTACGCACCCACTGCCATCACTGACCCGTGACTCGGTTACTACGAGACATGGCTGGGGGGTGGAGGGCTAACATCTGTGAGGGAAGAAACTTCAAAATAATTGTGATTTTAGACCTAGGGCCAACACCTACTTCCAACTTCTCCTCAAGGGGTAGGGAGGCAAAGAATAACTGGAATTTCCTTGATCCCTATTCTCAGAACACTTAGCAAGGCCACCTCAGGGGTCAGGGAGGCCAGGGACTTAGACCTCAGCACCATTTCCCTTGCCCAGTGGGCTCAAGGGCCATTCATCAAGATAGTCTTAGCATTGTGTACCCCACACCCACTCTCACCCCTCTACTCCCCAAACACAAGGCCTCTCTTTGATATACCACACACTGGACAGTGCTAGCCCGATGCCTTCTACCCTCCGACAAGACCGCATGCCCAAGGTCCTATAAACAGCAGGTTGCCATGCAGCAAAAGGGATTCTGTCCTCATTGAACAAGCACTATGAAGCCCCTACTATGTGCCAGGCACAGTTCTAGGCAAAGGGGACAGAGCAATGAACAAATAGGCAACGCCCTTGCCCTCGTGGAGCTTACATTTCGAGTGGCAGAAAATAGAAAATGAATGAATCAACAATGAAGCATGTAGGGCTGGCCGAGTGGCTCAGTTGGTTAAGAGCTTGCTCAAGAATGCGAGCTCTGAGCAACAGGATCGCTGGTTCAATTTCTGACCTGAGCTGAGCTGCCGCTAAGCTGCTAACAGGTGGCAGGATGGCTCAGCTCAAACAAAACAAACAAAACAAAACAAAACAAAACAAAAAAAACAAAACAAAAAATGAATGAAGCATGTAGTGTGCCTGATGATGATAAATGCTATAGAAAAAAAAAATCAGGGTAAGAGGGATAAAAAGTGCTGAGCTCAGGGGACTTGTTTTATATTGTGTGGTTAGAGAAGGCCTCATATATAACATGGTGTTTGAAGGAAGTAAGGAAGCAAACCATGGGGCTACTTTGGGAAGAGTGTTCCAGGCGGGAAGAGCAAGTGTAAAGGCCCTTGCTCAGCAGTTTGAGGAATGGCAAAGAGTCCCATGTGGCTGGAGCGGAGTGAGCAATGAGGAGTTATAAGGAAATGAGTTCAGGGAGGCAGCAGGGATCATATAGGGCCTCAGAAGCTGCTATAAGGACTTTGGCTTTTGCTCAAAATTAGATGAACGTTTTGGTTGAAGAAGTCACATGATCTGACTTACATTTTCAAAGAAGCATTCTGGCTGCTGTGTTGAGATAGACTGAAGGGGTTAAGGGCAGAAGCAGGGAGTCCAGTTAGGAACCTATTGAAATAATCTGGCCAAGAGATGATGGCTGCGTGCGTGCGCGCGTGTGCGCACGCGCGCACTCGCACACACACACACACACACACACACACACACACACACACACACACTCCTCACAGCTGCAAATGTCTGACACATGTTTCACCCAAGAATAACTTCCAGTTATGTCCGTACAGTGCCGACAGCCTTTCATCTGGCTGAAAAAAATCCACTGGAGAAGATAGCAGAAAATCAATGGATGTCTACAGTGATTAGGTAGTGAATCTGTCTGCTCTCTGATTGTTAAAGCACTTCATTTATTAGTCCATGTGAAACTCTCCATGCTACTTTGATCACTGGCCATAGCCCAGGAAAATACTGGCAACTGTGATGGTGCTTATAGAAACACAAGCTTGCTCATTTTATCATGAGTATAAATGTCCTTCTCCTTAAAACACTCTGGCATTTTGCACAGAATTAAGCAGAGAATGAAGAATAACCAGTGGACACCACTGAAAAATGGCCACATCTCTCCAAAGGGATATTAGCCATATTGAAGGAAGCTTTGTCATATGGTCGGGAAGCAGGCAGAGGTACTCTCTATTTCCCATAATCTGCCATCACTTGCAAATCACCATGGAAGGTAAGGGGGGCCATGGGTGAGTGAGGTCAATGG